AATAAAATAAAAGCTCGCTCTGTTTATTTTTCATGTACAAATGCGCAACATGATAGAAATGGGCTGATCTTGGTCAAAAGTAGCTTGCTAATGTTGCTGCATCAGTTTTAAATATTCTCATAGACATATCATTTCGATTTTTCTGTACTTCAGTGTGCCTTGGATGTCCGTACAAGGTTGTCTTCTTTTGAGCTCCGAAATCTAAAAGCTACTTTTTACAAAGACGAGCCTTATTGATTTTTTTTTTTATTTTTGGAAGAAGTTTCAATTCTTTTCTTTTCTTCTTTCCTGTTCGATTAAAAACCATTAATAATTACCAAGCAAGCACAGATGATGTCTTGCTGAAAGTCCAGATAGTTTTGCTGCGTGTAATTCCTGTGTTCCCAAATTTAACCTAGCATCAATATCAACTATACTGGAAGTATTTCTGCACATATGCTGCATTTATAGGTTAAAAGAATAAAAGCTGCTCAGTTAGAAGAAATGTAAATGCTTTACAAGTTGTATGCCAAAGCCTGTGTTGATAACACTCTGACCAACATTAAGGAAAAGGCACAAATATGTCCAGATGTGTAACAACAGTGTGTGTGTGTATAAATCCAAATACAGAGTTCGCATTCAAGTATTTATGTTCTGTTAGATGTACAGGTATCTGTTTGCCTATACTGTCAACAGCAAGTCATTCTGTTTCCATCAACTCACCGGGTCTTGCAGTGTTGTCAACCATCAGGTGACCTTTGACCTGTCCTCCATCTCATTGACCCCTCCGTCTCAGTAGTGCTCTTTCGTGCTGGTGGATTTCGTGTTGTTTAGCCAGTGTGATGCGTCAAGTGGTGTCTTTGTAAAACAGAAAAAAAACCTCACCCTATAGCCGGGAGTGCTCATCGTAGTGTTACAGAGCACTCAGTCAGTGTGGGCTTACTGTGGTATTGTTGATTAATAGCCAAGTGTGAAGGTAGGGGTGACATTAGGGAGGATGCTGTTGATGTTATGTTACATTCATATATGCTACATTTTGCCAGTGTTCAGTTTATGTAGCAGTGGTGATGAAGGTGATGTTGGCTTGATCTCACATCTGTCCCCGATCTCATTCCTTTTATGGTTCTACGGCCAAAAACTTTTTTCCCCCGCTTTGTGTTACTTAATATTTTTCTTTTAAGTTTAAACTGTGGCCAAAAAGATTTTGTTAATTTACTGTATGAGTTTTAATTTCCTCACTGTAGGTGCCACACTACTACTGAATGAAAGCAGAGGCAACATTTTTTCACTACAGTGATTATTGTCATCTGTTAGATACACAATTATATATATATATCTATATATTCAGAATATTTCAATAATACGAAGAAGAAGAAAAGTTGCAATAAGTCCTTTTATAAACAGAGCTACTAGAATATGTCATGTTTCATCATGAGACGATATTCATGGGGGGAAATGAAGCCATAAAGCAAAACTCTTTGCTTTGTATGAGTGTTTGTGACTTGAAATAATAATTCAATAACTCAATAATAATAACAATATACACACATATATATGATTTCTGTGGTGTCATTCTGTGGTCCAGATTTTTCAGGAAATGGCTGCCATGACACGCAGTTTTTCTCCTTTGACCTTTTTGTTTTCTTTCATTGTATCTCTGTCATTCTGTTGGAAAGTATTTCAGTGACTTCTGCGTTTTAACTGCAATAAATTTTTTAAATTATATTCTATTTATTAATTGAATTCATTTTCACTGTGTTTGAGTTTAAATGGCTTCGAGGTTTAGTGTGTCGTTTGTGCATGTTGTTAAATGTGCAGCAGCTTGAACACCAGGGGGCGATAAAAACACACTCACAATTACAGATTTGTTCATGAGGGAGGCTTCTGGGTGAGCCCCATAGATTGTGACTGACAAGTCAAAGCCGGGCTGCATTAACTAGTATTAGCGTTAAAACTAGTATTAAAAGATGTTAAGAACAGAATGTAATATTTCAAATAAATCTAAAAAACATCCTCATTATCTCTGGCAGCAGTGTGCTGACCGAATGAGTCAAGTAATCCACACATGAAAGAGGAAAGTTTAAAGGAAAAACCCGAACAAATAAGTGGAGAAACACAATGAATGCATTCACATATGCACCAGTTCACAGCATGCATACACACAGTAATAATTTTTAGCTCAGGGATGATTCTCTATGTGAATGCTATGAATGCAGTCATGACTTTGAAATAGGGTCCAAGCACTTAAAGCAGGAGCTTCAATCATAAAAACTACTCAAACAGACACTGTTTCAACAGGAACAGCGACTACTGTCCATTCATCCCTGTAGCAAAGACAGTAAGTATCCGAGGACTCAGAAGCTACTTTTAACAGCTATTTGGAAGGGGGTTACCATAACAGGTAACTCTGCTTATTTGATTTGGATGCCCTTCCTGACCCAGCCCCGATGGGATTTGGGGTCAGGTCCTACCACGATTGAACTAGGGAGCTTTTCCTTGTTAGCAAATGTGTAAACTACCATATTATGGAGTCACTCTTCAAGTGATTGAGAAATGTCACTGTAATCAGACTGTCATCAAGAATAATCCGTTGACAGATTCATGGAGGGAACTCTATATTGTGGTTGAGGGCATACACACATCAGAGAGTTCAAAGGTGCAAAATCCACAAGACAAAGGATGGCAAAGATGGGGGAAAATGTAGAGTCAAATGGGCATACTGCATATTCCAAAGAGTGAGTGAGTGGATGGTGTGCACCTGAGAACTGCTACAGTCATGGAATCTGGTGGCTCTGATATCCTGTGGGGGGCTTTTTAATGGCATGGTTTGCGTTTACTTTGTCCTCTTACAAGGAAGGGTCACTGCAGGTCAATAAATGGGTGCTCTGAGGATTTTAGCAAAAATTACATTTCAGACTGGTGATGTATCCAGTGTGTACCCTGTATGTCATCCTATTACAGATGAGATAGACTCAAGTTCACCTGTGACCCTTGACTCTTGACCCTGAACTGGAAAAGCAGTTAAGAAGATCTAAAAAGGTGGATGTAAGGATGGATGGTCGTTTTTGGTGAGGTATTATTATTATTATTATTATTATTACATATATACTATTATTTTTGTTCACTTCCTTCATTTTAGAAAGCGCCTTAGTATAAATTTATATACTAAAACTAGTGTAGTTGATCATGTTTACTAATCATGAATACTGTTAAAAGGCATTACCATTCATATCATTAGATTATAAAATAGAATTTAATTATATTGCACTATATAATTGATAATAACCCATAACTCATTTGATTATTCCTATTTACACCTAAAATTTTTCTATGCTATATTATATATTGGTTAATGATTAACAGTTGTTGTTGTTGTCGCCGTCGTCGTTGTCGTCGTTGTTGTTGTGTAGGTAAGGTTTCATTAGCTCAGATTGGCGCTGCAGTTAGAAGTGTTGAAATATTTGAACTTCAAACATATGCCTTCAATCTGGCTTTTGACTGAGTGTTCTTTTCAAGAAGTTACTTTGTTTTTATTACCTCATTGTGTCTAAGTTGTAGGTTTATTTGATTTTTAATGCTTTCATTTTAACTGCTCTCATCACAGCATTTTTCACAGATTAGAGCCGGCTTGTTCCCGTACATTGTGTTTTATTTTATTTATCATTTGTATTGCTCTTAATTTAACTGACATACTTTTACTTTAAAGAATATTTTCTTTATGTTATTTCCATGATGTTTTATCTTTTTAGTTTATTTTGAGTGGCTTTCACTTATTATACTCTGTTAATCATCTGTGAGACACAGTGAACTGCAGTGATTTGCATGAAAAGTGATATGCAAATAAAGTTTTTTTAATTGACTGATCTCATATATATGCACTAGCTGTCTTTTTGTGTGTTGATCTGCATGTTTTCTCTAAAATGTCTGCTCTTGTCCAAAACGTGATCAACTGGTTTTAGTGTATAAACCCAACAAAACAAAATTATATTTTAGCACTTATACTCGTTTTAAGTAATAATTGCCAGTTACAGCTTTATAAATTTCATCCAAACTTTAATTTAACACTAAAAGAAATTAAAGTAAGTTAAACGAAAGTTTAAAAAGCCCCAAATTTACTATTTAAAGTGTTACTTGCAGTTCCAGTGCTGACTCTGTCCCTGTTAAAGACACAGAGCTACAATAATTACCAGAATGCTATCAGTTCTTTTGCATTCTTGCAGATTTCAGGTTGGGCACCCATCTGCTCTGTGTGGTTTGTGCAAAACTGGCACAGCCCCTCTGTGAGGGCAGACCTGAAGCTAGAAAAGCTCGTTTCCATTTCAATGGCAGGAACGCCTGGGCTATTGGTAGTTTTCAAGTGTGGTGTGAAAGGGAATAGCTGTAAAATATATTGATGCTGAACCCCTCTCTATTGATAGGCTGCAGTGCGTGAACAATCTTCAGGCTGGAAAGACACTGGGCCACCGCATGGCCAATCTGACACAATTAGGGTGAAACGGGCCAGAAAATACTATTCTCTCCCTTTCTCCTCTATCAATCGAGGCTTAAAAAACTCTGCAGAATGGGGAGACGAGGGAGGGAGACAATTAGCGAGAACCTTTAAGTGAAAATCCTCATCGGCGAGGAAGCCATCACTGAGGTTTCTCCTTGCTCCGGAGAAACAGATTTGTTTTTCTTCGCTGAAATTTGGAGCAGTGAAGTTGCAGATGTGAGCTTCTTGCAAAGGAATGCATTTTGCAAGCTCCCCCTGCCTGCCTCCCCCTTTCACTTATGTTTTGCTACAGGAGGACCACACAGATCCTGGGTTTCATACAAGGAAAATTATAAACAGTTTCATCCAGCCTATCTCGTCATATACTGAGAGGATTTGTGCTCAGAGCTGTGCTGCTGTGGGCCTGGAAATGGGTCCCACGGCTGACTCCTCAGTGACGACCAATCGGTGGCCAGGATTGTAAATGAGAGAAGGAGGGGGAAAGGCGCGACTTTTTCTTTCTTTTTTTTCGTGGAGGAGGGGTGTTGTGGGGAAATGCTCGGCGGACCGTGAAGCGTAACAGCCAGAAGAAGGACAAAGACGCACATAGCGGGACAAAATGGGACTGAGAGAAATAGCTCTCAACTAAAAAAACAAAACAAGTTTGGAATGAATGCGTGGATGGATGTTAAAAGTAGTAGCGCCGGGAAGAATCGAAACTAGCAATGGCAGGAGAGTTCTAGTGTAATATCTGAGTTGTGTACATTAATTGTAGTTAGAGTTGTAAACTTTAGATAGCCCAATGGCGCGTTTCAGTGGCCACCTCAGATTTGCACCGGTGATGCGGCGACAGACTGCACTTTGGAGTTTGGATTTCTCGTCTTTGAACGGACATGCTTCCCGAATTGACTTTTCCGTTTCTTGCAACTACGCGTGGTGAATCCCCTGAGTCAGATCTTGACTTCTACTGTTGCAAATCTCACCGGGAGGAGCCAAACTCATCCAAGGTGCAAAAGTGAGTGGAGAATTTTTGAAAGAGCTGCGGTGTTAACAGGTTGTTTGTTGCGAAAACTCTCGGATGAAAAGAAAACTTGTATGAACTTCAGTGTGAAAGTTTCTGTGCCTGAGTCGCTCTGATCCTAATGTGCTGGTGGAGAAAGTGCACGTCACCGAACTACAACTCCATCCAAGCATGAAATGTTGGTGCAGCGCCCTGGCACTTCTCCCGTGGGTGCTGGTGGCCTTGGATGCACAGCTAATATGCTGGCAGGCGCTTCTCCGGTGCCACGACGAACCCGAGTGCGAACTTGCATACAATCAATACATGACAGCATGTGAAGGTAACATCAAAGGAACTAGAAAGCAATGCCCCAGCCACTGCATCAGCGCGCTGATAAGGCTGAATCACACCCGCAGTGGGCCAGATCTGGAGACCTGCGACTGCGCTCAAGATCTGGACTGCCTCAACGCCAAGCGAGCCATAGAGCCGTGCCTGCCCCGAAGACACCCGAAGGACGCCGGAGGTATAGGGTGCATGGAGGCCCGGCAGCGCTGCGAGGAAGACAGCAACTGCCACACCTCCCTCGCAGCCTACATGTCATACTGCGGGCAGCTGTTCAATGGCCGGAAGTGCTCCTCCAGGTGTAAAGCCACCATTCAGCAGATGCTGTTCATCCCAAACGGCATGCTTCTGAACCGCTGCATTTGCGATGGAGTGGAGAGGCCTTTGTGTGAAGTGGTCAAGGAGAACATGAGCAAACTTTGCTCCATAGGAGACCACAGCGTTGTTTCAGAGCCGACTAAAGGTTATGAAGATCCAAACAAAAACAATTACCCTAAAAATGACAAAAAGGTGGATTTTAGTGAAAACTCCTCTGCTTCTCAGAGCTTATCCAGAGGCGTGTTGCCCTTGTTTCTTCTTACAGCACGGATATTATACTGAGGGGATGGGTATTTTTACAGTTTTATGAATAAAATGTACTGTAAAAAAGCAAAATGATCCCGTATTTAATTTAATAAGGACTTGGTAACTTTCTCAAAGACACTTGAGCAGGCGATGCTTTGCTGGCAGAGGACTTGAATTCAGGTCTGCAGGATGAGAAAAGTTATTTTTTCGTCCCTGGGCCCCTCAGACTTCTCGTGCTAGTTTCATGGTGACAGACAGCACTGTAATGGTTTGTGTAAAATTTCCACAACCTTAGTAATTCTCCATGCACATCTCACTCAGGAAGTATTTCCTTTCGATTTGTATACTGTACATGCTCCTTTTAGTTTTCCGAGTTAAAATTCCCCACCAGTTTAAGTTAAAAGAAAGCTTTTGTCAAAAATATCAAAAACATTTTCATGTAGCAGTGAGAGGAAATTAACCAGACCGTATTTTGTTGAAGCGCACAGCCACTTTGTTTGCCCTCAAACAGCTCCTGTTTATTTGGTTTGCTTTCAATGGTACTTGAAGTGTAGCCTTATTAAGACCTTGGACAAACATTGGATCCATCCAGTCTCTATTTGCTCTGCTCTCTATTTCAGGGGCCTTTTCATTGTTGCAACAGCCACACTTCAAATATTTGTAGGAACAGTGAGAGGACAGGCAAGGGTGTGTGATCAAGTACTTAAATTAACTGAAGCGCCTCTCCAGCTCTCTGTCTTGTTCCCCTCCCCCATTTGAGATTGTTTTATTGAACTTTTCCTGAGACCACCCTCACCCCCTTCTTCCTCCATTCTACTGCCTACCCCATTTGAGGCCTCTAAGGAGACCCCTATCTTTATTACTGCTTTCACACTGCTGCTACACTCCAGGAACAACTGCCAGCTGCTGGAGTGAACAAGTCAGCGTACAACATTTACAGTTTGTCCACAAGACTGCTCACATCTACAGGTGGTCTGACAGTGCTTTGCTTTCTTTTTCCAAAGCACGATGTTGGATTTAAGCCACATATATGTAACAAACTGTGCAAGTTAAGGATGAGTAAGTCAGGTTTTATGAACAAAACAAACTCTGCTGAACAAAACACCTAAAGTAACACCAAGCAACACTAAAGCAGCAATGCAGTAAATGGTAAACAAAACATCAAGAAGTAGTCTTGATGTTCACTGTGAGCAAACATAGTTATAATTCCTTATTTTATGTCACACAGGTTGGCTTGAAGTTGAAAGTGTTTCTTCATTTTGTCAGGATACATTTGTCAGGATACTTTTAAATTAAATGTTTTACCCAGCTATTTTCTAAATGACACACACACACACAGATAAACTCAAGTTAATAATATGAGATTTTTACAACTTTTACATTTTCATGTTGGGGATCCTTTCCTCAGTAATTGTACTTTGAAGTCTTTTGTGTGTTTCGAGGCTAAAAACATCAGCGCAAAACATCACATTCATATTTGTACTTGCACACATTGCTTTGAACAGCTACTGCGTGGTTGATTTTACCTGTTTGCAGGTCCAGGGACTGAAACCAGCAGATTTTCAGTCTGACTTCTTACTTCCACGCTATGCTGAAAAAAGGGAAAATTAAAAACAAAGTTTTTGTTAGTTTTGATCACTTTTTCTGAAGCTGCCAGTTTGTGTCTTTGCCACTTGAAATGCAGTTTTAAACAATGAATGTTAAGTGTTAAATTATGAAGCTATAGTATGAAGAATGTGTATATATTTTACCGTCATATGCAGTAAAACAAGTGTCGCTTAAATGCTTTTAATATAAACAAATGTAGCTCAAAGTTTGTTCACAAAACCTGTTTTTTGGATGTAGTTTTCAATGTTTCCTCTCATTTTTTGGGAATATAGCAGTAAACACTTCAGCACGTCTTCCTTCCTCCAAACTGGAGGATGCGTTTTATAATACATATATGACCTAATGTAGCCCAAGAATAAAAAGGAATAAATAACGTTGAACTTTTAACCAATGTGTGCTTGATTTTTACATCATTTCCCTGTCATATTTTGGTGATCGTACATTACCTCAAAGTCAGTGGAGCATTCATGACTGTATGTGCATATTTAATGATAATATTTTTTTAAAAGTAGTGTAGAGGATCCATGCGGTAGTTTTCAACCCATTCATCTTACACACAAAAGATCTGTGGTCCAACACTCAGAGGAAACAAACCCAGTCTCAGGGGCTCACAAGCTAATGTACTTAATGCTAGTCCCAAAGCTGGATAAAAGGGAAAAGGAAGGGCATCCGGCATAAAATCAGTGCCAAATCAAACATGCAGATTAATCCTTTGTGGCAACCCCTTGGGAAATAAGGGAGCATCCAAAAGTGTCTAGATATTTCAGAGGTATATGTGGCATGAGCTAAATCTGCATTAAAGTGCCTATAATGTGTAAACCTTCACATACTAGCACTCATTATATTTTAATCATATTTCTTCACATTAAAGTTTCACTATAAAATAGTTATATGACGTTAGCATTTTGGGTTCCTGGAAACAGTCATTCTCAAGTCAGCTAAGGGACTGAGTGGGTTTGTTTTGTCAGTATTGCTTTCAGTACTGGATCCTGTGTTAATTTTACCTTTTGTTCATTTGAAATGGGCGGTAATGGTCAGGTTGTAAGAGTTAGGAAGTTCTGAAGAGTACTATATTGCATTTCAAACACATGAGTCATAGTTACGTAGATGTAAAGCACAAAACCTTTAAAAGGAAAAAGGTAGAGAAAAGCAGATAAGCTGATACTGGAAAGATTTAATCATATACCTTCAAACTTTCCCAGTGTCAGTGTGACTTTGCTAATGACCGAAAATATAATGAACTACTTCAGAGCAAGCCACCATTTGGTGCTTCCTCCACAGTTACTGAGGTATTTGCAAGTCATTAACAAACTGTGAAATGATCATTAGCATTAGCAGTTAGGTGTGAGCTGAGCTGCACACCTGTTCTGCAAATGTTACTTTAGGCATGTCCAAATGGTACAAGCAGTGGGACAAACAAAAAAGGAATAAACTGAGGAGTAAAGTTTTTCCACTATACTTGCGTGAAAAAAAAACAGACCTACATTTGTTGAGTAATTACGTTTTGGAAGTTTGTTACTTGAGCTAACAGGTGGCAAATTTCAGTAACATCTCCAAGCCTGGAGAGAACTTCCATACAGCCTTTACTGATTTTTTCTTTTTTTCTTTTGTAAACCACAGGAATTCACCCAGCTCTATCTGTCCATGAAGCCAGATAACACACACCAATTAGTTAAACTGCAGGAATGTCTTAAAGACATAAAGACCTGGATGGCCGCTAACTTTCTGCTTCTTAATTCAGATAAAACTGAGGTTATTGTACTCGGCCCTGAAAAGCCGAGAAATATGGTATCTAAGCAGATTCTTACTCTGGATGGCATTACCTTGGCCTCCAGTAACGCTGTGAGGAACCTTGGAGTCATTTTTGACCAGGATATGTCCTTCAACGCACATATTAAACAAATATGTAAGACTGCGTTCTTCCATTTGTGCAACATCTCTAAAGTTAGAAATATCCTGTCTCAGAGTGACGCTGAAAAACTAGTTCATGCATTTATTACTTCCAGGCTGGACGACTGTAATTCATTATTATCAGGATGTCCAAAAAACTCACTGAAAAGCCTTCAGCTAATCCAAAACGCTGCAGCAAGAGTACTGACAGGGACTAGAAAGAGAGAGCATATTTCTCCTGTTTTGGCTTCCCTTCATTGGCTTCCTGTTAAATCCAGAATTGAATTCAAAATCCTGCTCCTCACATACAAGGTCTTAAATAATCAGGCCCCATCTTATCTCAATGACCTTGTAGTACCATATCACCCTATTAGAGCACTTCGCTCTTGCTCTGCAGGCCTACTTGTTGTTCCTAGAGTATTTAAAAGTAGAATGGGAGGGAGAGCCTTCAGTTTTCAGGCCCCTCTTCTGTGGAACCAGCTTCCAGTTTGGATTCGGGAGACAGACACTATCTCTACTTTTAAGATTAGGCTTAAAACTTTCCTTTTTGCTAAAGCATATAGTTAGGGCTGGACCAGGTGACCCTGAATCCTCCCTTAGTTATGCTGCAATAGACATAGGCTGCCGGGGGATTCCCATGATGCATTGAGTTTTTCCTTTCCAGTCACCTTTCTCACTCACTATGTATTAACAGACCTCTCTGCATTAAATCATATCTGCTATTAACCTCTGTCTCTCTTCCACAGCATGTCTTTTATCCTGTCTTCCTTCTCTCACCCCAACCGGTCGCAGCAGATGGCCGCCCCTCCCTGAGCCTGGTTCTGCCGGAGGTTTCTTCCTGTTAAAAGGGAGTTTTTCCTTCCCACTGTTGCCAAAGTGCTTGCTCATAGGGGGTCATATGATTGTTGGGTTTTTCTCTGTATCTATGAAGCGCCTTGAGGCGACTTATGTTGTGATTTGGCGCTATATAAATAAAATTGAATTGAATTGAATTGAATTCTCAAGTAAGTCCAACTGTCTGCTGCGAGATAGAGAAACAATGCAGCCTACAGCTACAATATAGCACAACTCCGTCTCATGTAGTTAGACTGTCTTTGGTTCAGTCTGTCTTAACCACTGCCATGCATCTTAAAGTCCTCCAAAAAAAACAAAAAAAAAAACACCCTGTCCCCCCAATTCTGGGAGCAAAGTCAAAACAAACATGCACAGAGGAGCCTTGGGGATTGTGTGTGGAGGAGAATGGGGGGTGGGGTTACAGAGGGAGCAGTGTGCTGGAGCCCATTTTCTAAATTATCTTTATTCAACATTTCTTTAAAACAAACCCCCCTGTTCCCCCAACTCCAAAGTGGGGTGACCCATGGATTTGGGAGGTTCTTATGTCACACGCATACAATGTTCCATTCATGACAGCCATGGAGCCATAGCAACTAGCCGACCTGCTCTCTATGTAGAGGGATGATGGAGTCAAGGTCACCCAGCTCCTTAGGGACCAGAACATACAAACCCCTCTTTATAGGCAACAGTGATACCAGCACTACTCGTGTGTAGCTTTAACAGTACCAAAAGAAAAAGAGAGGGAGGAAGGGAATATGGAGACTGATCGAAGCCACAATGCTGTAGGTCGTGGTTTAGGAGAGGAGGATCGGTGATGTTTTGGAGGAGGGGTGGTGGGATAAGTTTTCCATCTAAGAAGCTCCCATTCTGGGCTGCATTACTGTAAGGTTATTCAGCAGACTTTTTAAGAAGGCAATATAAATTGGCAGTACTCCCAGAAACAACAAAGCAAGCACAAGGGTCAAAATTGCATCCAAAGTTTTCCTGGCAGCAACATGCTCGCGCTATGATTAAAGCAAAGAAACTGAGCCAACACCACGGGCACCGACAGCCAATTACAGCCCCCTCCATAGCACAGCCACAAACTCATCACCCAATGGTTCTTCATCCCGTTGCTTCGGGGCCATGCTGTTTCTGCTCTAACCATACGGTCTGGTACTGATTTACACCTGGCATGACCAGGTGATTGTTATTAGCTAAATGAGAGCACAGAAAACAAACATTAATCTGAGTCCTGGTTTTGAAGACCGCTCGTAAACCTATGACAACCACAGCTGCAGTTTTTTAAGATATCAAAATACATCTCTTTCCGATTTTCACAAAACTTAGTCTTTTGATCTACTGATCCAGTTTTTAAATGGGCAATTTAATATTGGAAATAAGTTGGAAAAAGCGAACGTGACAGAAATAAAAAAAGAATAATCAAAGAACTGTGGAAATCAAAATATCTTGGCTTTTAGAGTTTAGCATAAATTAAAAACACACACACACACAGAATCATGCATTTCCATTAATGGAGCAGTACTGTGTTTCACTGGAAACTGCATGGTAAACACATCTTTCAAACTCCGAACTTTCACTTTGTAAGACAGGCCTTGTTTTCCCCCCCAAAGAGGCAAAAATCTTATTTTGGGGGTGAGTGGGACAATCATTTTACTTTTCCAAAAAAGATAACAGTAAGCCAAAGCTTCACAGAATAAAAATGTGGATCTATCATGTTAGGTCTTCAACTGACATAATTTTGTGAAAAAACCTGGACGTAGCATTCTTGGCAAAAGAGATTATGCAGATGAAATAAATTCCTCACCATTCTCCAGTTTTTGTGACATTTTATTGAATCTGTTATCTCATCTCATGAATCATATTATTAACAAGTATTCTTACTTTTCCCTTCCCTGCCTCCCTGTCTCCACCCCTCGTGGACACGAGCCAGCTGTTTCTACAGAGCACACTTCCAGATGATGA